TCATGCAGTAGAAGAACACCATAACATCTATCCAGACCAGGCTAGTCTAGGCTGTGATGATAATGATAATAATAACAGTAATAATAGTACCAACATCATTGATAACGATAGTGACGGTCAAGATGACAGATAACTCGTCTCCAACATGTAAAGACGAAGCACTAACTACAAATCCCACAGTTAGAGCATGCGCAAATTAGCTTTTTCCTTGCGTTGTGGTATTGCGTTGTGTAATGTTGAATCAATTCAATTTTACGCAAACAACAATGACGGCAATTCACTAAATATAAAGCAGTAATGTCATTGGTCATTCCACAAAGTTGGGGGAACAACATTTACTTGACCCTATTTTCAATATTTATTAGAAGCAATGGTTGTTTTTGTTCATTCTATGCATCAATGAATTAACTCTTTGTGGCAGAAATTGTGGTAGAAATGTTGCACATGATAAAGAAACATATTGTGTGTAACAGAGAGTTTGTCCGTGGGAGAAATGGGAGGAATAATAATCCACGCATAGTTTTGAAGTAATTGAAATATAAACTATATAAATATATTTTTTTTAAATTTCTCTGCAAAAAAGAAAATATCTGGGTCGGATATTTTTCTTCAAAAAAAAAAATGTTTATGCCTACGGTGTGAAATAATTGATTTAATTTGGATACTAATATCCATATAATATTTACAATCAGTAAATACAATGAAAACAAATAATTAGTATCTGAAAATATATTATATAGACTGATTCCACTATTTTTGCAATTACAAGTTAACTTTCTAACCTGAATAAAGCACACTATCTATTTATTTATTTATTTATTTCTGTCTTTTTTGTGATAACACTTTTAGTGGTGTAGCACTGGTATCACAAGTGGATCAAAAGAAAAATGAATAAAAGAAAACCAAAATGGAAAAAGAAATTGAACTTAAGACAAAACTAATGAGTAAAAGAAAAACAATATGTACATAAATATGAAACTACTGCATCGAAAACAAAATAGTTTAAGACAGAATTGAAAAAGAAAAATCTGTAAAATTTTGATTCAATATTTTGTCAGGAAAAGAGTAATTAAATAGTGTTTAATTATATATCGTTTAAAAGATTTTTAAAAGACTGTATTGACAGTTATTTTTAAAAGACTGTATGGAAAGTTCATTAAATATTGTTTGAATTTCATTTGCAAGGATGTTCCATGCTTTAGTTTCACAATATAAAAATTTGCCTGATCCCATTTTTGTTCAATCAAGTTATTAGGCTTGTTCCTAGTACATTGAGGATGATTATTGTTGTTAAAAATAAATTTATTACTTAAATAAAATGGGGCCTTTTCTTTACATTTGACAGTTAATAATAGAAGATGTCACCTCCATTGTAAACAACCTGTTTTTACTCCATGATTATATAATTATCAATTCAAATATCATTTACTACCGGGTCGACTGGTTTGATTATGAATTGAAAAAACTATTAAACTAAAATCAATTCAGCAACATTACAGCCTCTTCTTCTTAGTGAATAGTGCATACATATTACCAAAATGTTTAAAAAACATATTTATTGAAGTACATATGACTAGTGTTGAACCTTCTTTTTATGTAATTAGAAGTCCATAAACTAAATCATATGCTACAAAGAAACTACAGTAATTGTACTATGGCAAAACTAGATTGACTGTGTTTGAAAAGCAGAACTGTAAGCAAACTTATTTCAATTTCTACTTGCCTTTGACAATTTCGTGAGTCTTGCTGAAGTCCTTTGCCTTGTCTGATGTGCTGAGAGATGTTTTCTTGTTTGATGTGCTGTTTCTTTAATGCTGTCTTGTGTACTGAATGAATCTTTCATTGTTCTGACTACCTTTATATACAATCAGATTTCTTGAACTTTTTTCTATTTTTCTTATCTTGTGAATCCAGATGGATTAAATGAAAGTTTAACAACTTTGTTATTGAATTAAAAACCAATATTACTCGACAATATTCCGGTTATTAACTATCGTTACGGATGTATGTCCAAATGATAACAAACTCTGCACATTATTTCTTTCTATAAATAGGGTGGGGATCTTTGTTAGCATCCCAATATATCCGACCGAGCTTAAAGGGAATCAGAACAAAGGTGTCTCTGAATATTTGTCGGTATGAATACAAAGCCCCTCACTTTTCCACTCGGAAATTTGGAGTGGATGTTTATTACCATCCCAATATATCTGACTGTGCTTAAAGGTAATCAGAACAAGTGTTTTTTTTTTTATATTTATCCGGATGAATACAAAGCTCCTTGCCTTACTTTCTTACCTGAAATTTGGTGTGCCTAAAGGTAATCAAAACAAGTGCTCAATTCATTTAAACCTTTTTTTTTCTTTACTTATTTTTAGATATCATGGTTTTGGATATCATTACGAATGTATGTCCGAATAATAATGAACTCATTAAAGGTTTATGTTGGAATAAATACTTACTTCTTACCTGAAATTTGGAGTGGATATTTGTTATCACGATCACAATCAGAACAAGTGCTCATTTAAACTTTTTCTTTAATTATTCATTTACTGTGATCCATGACCACTCATCATGGGGATAGTGATGGTGGTTGTAGGGACGGTAATGGTGAAGATGAAAATAAAGATACTCGGAATGATAAGGATACTTCACACATTACTTCATTCTGGAAAGAGGGTGTGGATCATTGTTATCCATCCTATCTGACTATGCATGAAGATAATCAAAACAAACTTTTGTAGTCTTTACTGAGATCCACGAATAGTCCAAGTATTGGGTTCATGAAATGTCAGGAACAAGGCAACTAGGTGACAGACAGACACAATATACTCCAATTTAATATGCATATAACTTAATAATTAATCTCTACGGACAGATAATTGCCAATATGTTAAATTCATGCTATATACACCATGTGAACCATACCTGCACACACTGTATGTGAGTAATGACACCTGCACACACCGTGCGAGTAACCATACCTGCACCGAACCTGTCGACTCACCCAATCCTGTTTGGTGTCACCCGACATTTAAAAAAATCTCCAGTTCTCGCTATCGAATGTAATTTTCAACCTATTTCACTGAATTCACCCGTCCCCGCAAATACTCGGATTTATGCATAAATTTGATTGATTCGAACGTTATTAATCAATGTATTCGCCGCCTGCTTGCTTCATGACAAGCATCCATTTTTTATTTGAACGTCGCCACCAACAGCCAATGATTTCTTGACGTGTCTTTTTTAGTATCTTGCATCATCTTTTGGTTAATTTGGATTTTTTGGTAAGATTAAAAAATTTTCATGACCCAGGGATTGGCAGGTGTGCTGCACCTGCCAGGCAAATCAACCCTACACATACACACACCATGTGAGTAATCAAACCGGCACACACCATGTGAACCTCAACCGTACATACACATCATGTGAGAAATCATACTTGCACACACCATGTGAGGCCAATAACCATACATCCATTTGAGTGAACTATACCAGCACACAGCATACAGGGTAAGAGCAAACACACTGTACATGCTCACACCATACCTGCACACACCATGTGAGTCAACCATACCTGCACACACCATGCATATTCCATATTTAAAGAACCCAGTACATCTTTAAAGACAAGCAGGGGGACTACCCCAGGGTACTGGTCCATTCACCCCCTATTGTGGACAGACAAGAGTTGCTGAGACTGGTGGACCAGGTAGCTTAGACATAAAGAGACCCTCTGGGGAGAAGTAAGTTATTATAAGAGCCAATTCGCACATCAATGCAGAGACTGTTCGGTATCAAGCGCTATATAAATCCAACTGCAATTCAACCATACACACATACTATGTGAGTAACCAAACATAGTACACACACCATACGAGTCAACTATACCTGCATGCACCAATTTTTATGTGTAAAAAGTGAAATAAAGGATATCATGTAATATCCAACCCCATTTTCTGTTTTGTAGGCCTATTCTCTTTTTTTTGAGTACATCATCAGCAAAGCACATTAACTTATATGTGTTGATATGTCTTGCAGAATCTGGTATGATTAGTAACCTATCAGTTGAGAGTTGCTGAATGTAGATTAGATGATTCTGGGATAATTCACTTTGAAGCATAAACTAAATTGAGAAAATTAGTCTGTTTAAAATTTAGGTATGTTTCTTTTATTGACTAATAATTACTGGTGTTTTATTGTGTTTACAATGTCAGCATAAAATTTATGCTTTTTGTGCCTGTTTATCCAGGCCTTAGCTAAGCTGCAACGTGTTAATTTCTCAGCCTAGAATAAAACCTGGCCTATACCTATATACTAGTACAGTATAATGTGAATAGACATCATACAACATAATTTTATTATTATTTATAAATAAAATATATTTATTAAAACTAGTTCGCAAGATTATAATAACAAAGAATTTTTTTGGTGGTTCGACTATAGACGGTAATGCAAACCCCCAATATTGCAGTTGTGAGATTTGTAGACTTGATGCCCTTTTTTTTTCACACCACATTTTTGCAAAATCCTGGTGAGTGAGCTTTGATGTCAGCACAAATTCAGACAAAAACCAGACAATTTTTAACATGTTTGTTCATTTTTAATTTTTTTTTATTCATAGTACTCAAATGATAGAGAATTCCAAAAACATTAGTACAACAACTGTATGATGTTACATCGTAGGCTAAGAATGCTTGCTGTGCCTTGGACTATAATTGTAGCATTATTATCTAAGCTATTTACTACAAATATGCCTGTATTCACTATCATATAATATAAAAGATATTGTAGTGTGTATAGGAGGCCATATAAAGCCACTAAAAGCATGTTTCTTGTATGGCGGATAAGCTTTTGGAGCAAATAAATATTGAATTGAATTTTTGTAATTACTGCTGACATTCAATTATTTACTAATGATAAAAAGTCAATAAAAAAGATTGTCATATTCTGTTGCAATTTGCTGATTTGAAATTTGTAATTATTAGCTTTTCAAAATTTCCTTATGCAGATGCATAAAGCAGGAAGCCTGAAAAAGAACAGTATATGTTGGAATTACTGAAGTAGTAGTTATAGCTGGTACCGAACGGCTCAGTCCACACTTCATCATTTGCTACTAAATCAAGAACTACCATGTTGCTGGCTGATTTGTGGCCTGAACCAAACTCATATGCTGAGACAATGTGTTGCCCATTCTTCTTGATGCTTGTTATCATGTTGGTATTACTGCTATCTGAGCCTGATGTAAACTGAAAGACATAGATGCCTGGATGTCGACAGACAAACTTGCCTGTTTCTTTATTGTAGTTATTCCCAAAGTTGGTAATTACTAACGGGTATTTCATAGGACTAACTGGATGGCGGCCTGGGTTTACATTATATCCAACTGAGAAGGCAGATTTGGGCTGGCTGTTTGTGGTAGCTTGTTCACCTTTCTCTCCTTTTCCTCCTTTCTCACCAGTAGCACCTGGTAAACCGATTGGTCCTATTTTACCTGGAAGCCCATCTCTTCCATCTGATCCTTGGTTTCCCTTCTCTCCTTTTTCCCCAACATGTCCTTTCATGCCTATTGGACCAGGACCACCAGGATTACCATGGCTGCCTGGAATTCCAGGAATCCCTGCAGGAGCAGTACAACAGCCACTACAAACTTGGGTATCACCTTGAGCAGCTGCTTGGATGATACAGATAATGCTGAGTTGTATAGCAATTGCAAGATATATTTTGATCTGAAATGATTAATTAAAATGCATTATTTATATTAACTTGTATATGCTCTTGTGTTTTCAAGAAACGTCATGAGTTTATTAATTTCTAGACAATCTAAAATATCAATATGAAACAGTCCTGAGGGTTGCTTTATGTAAACATGACATTGTTGGTTAGGTGATGTGAAGGTGGGGGATAAGCACCTTTTTGCTCCCTAGATATGCCAGTGCTGCTACCCAGTATTTTTACTTGATGTGTTACTTCTATGCATTGGTAGTATGCTTTACACAGAAATTAATATTTATAGAATTTACATTTATATGAGGTCTGTTAAAATAGTTTTGTAAAAATGAATAACAAGCCGAGTGGCCGAGCGGTAAGGCAGGGGCGCCGCTAAATACAGCCTTAACGTCAGCACTGGTTCCAGCCGCTCCTAGCCCATGGGTAGAACCAAGTCTTCTCAGATAAGGACATAGAATGGAGGCCCAGCTCAACACGATAACTTTTCTCATGTTCGGCTGTCTAACCACAATGGAAGAACACCCGAGTTAGAAAAAATGTATTAATATATAAACTTGTATGCTCATTAATAATATATAAATTTGTATTTATTTCTGGACAATCAAAAATATCAACATGAAACCGTCCTGTGGTTGCTGTTATCCAAATATAGCATTGTTGGTTGGCCTTTTGTGTCCCGGTCGCCAATTTCAATGTGGGATTTTAGATGTGCTTACTTAATTATTATATTCTCAATGTTTTCATCGACAAAAGTAAATGATATGATATGAATGGCGAGTCCAGGAATGTTGAATATAGGTCTAGGGAGAATTTTACTGATAAAGGGTCACCACAGCCCCACATTGGTTAGGGCTGAGGTAAGAAAATTTATGATTACGGCACCTCTGAATGGCCGGAAATGGCACTCACAGACTTAAAATTTAAAAATTTAGGGGCCCCTTTAATTCACCACTGGATATAATATTATATACAGTCCACGTCAGAAAAACATTATGTTGTTGTGTATCAACAAAGTCCTTTTGGGTAAGGGTGCTGGATCGAGACCATGTGGTAAGGTGCCCTTAGGGGTTAGGGATCCTGCGGACCGTCGCACAAGAGTGCATGAGTGTTACGCCACTGGTTAGGTGAGTTGAGGCGGTAAGGAATAAGCACCGTTTGCCACTCCCCATATAAGCCAATGCTGCTACATAGTATTTTGACTTGATTTGTTACATAGAAATTAAATATTCATAGTTTCACATTTATATGAGGTCTGTCAAAATAATTTTTATAAATGAATATCTAAACAATCCAATTCACCAGTGTTTGCCAAATGCAAAATTTTCATTATTTGAATAATCGTTCCATGTTCAGAACATCTGGTGATCATTGACAAGAAAATACACTTGTTGATTCTTATAACCTTAAACCCCCATATTGTTGACACCTGCCAATTGAGAGGGAAGGATAGCTATCAAATATTGGGTAACAGAATTATACTACATATCAAATTATATGCTTTCAGGTAGGCTGACAAAAGTGGATATTACTGTGACCATCGTGATATCCAGCTTAATCAGTATCTTGCTAGCAAAGGATTTTGGGGGGGGGGGGGCTTGATCCTATCAGGAAACTTGCATTCCCTAACCCTAACCCTAACCTACAATAACTACAGTTTTAATCGGGAAACTGGTTTTCAGCTTAGTGGATGTCAGTGATTCTGCATTCATCAATTAGGGATTGTCGGGTCTCTGATATTCGTCAGAAATTTGGCATTCTGCAAACTGAAAGTTATCAAACTATAAAGATAATTTTATTTTCGTAGACAGCTGTCAAAGCTGCCCACACTCATCTGGTAAAAAAAAATTACATGTAGAGATAAGGCAAATATACATCGCTCTGGTTTAGTGTTTAGTTGCTACACAATAGATGCTTCTTTCTGTGTCTACACAGTTAATTTATATTTTTATTTTTTATATGTTTAGTTGAATGATATTTTAATCTATATTCTAAAAATTTGTATACCAAGGACTCCAAGGGAAACCAGTCTACTTGACTGATTTTGCTACCCTGGTTAAAGGTTGGGAATAAATAAATAAATAAATTTTTATCTATCTAGTTTATCAACAAACCTGTCCCCTCCCCCCACACTCAAATTATATTTATACCTAATTATATTGAATCTAGAGAAGATGGTAAAATTTGGCAAATATAATAAATACCACATTTAGATAAAAAGGCCAAAGACAAGAGTAGCATATTCAAGTGTAGGTTGGATATGTGATGAAGAGGAGGAAGAGAAATACGTGGGAATTGTATACAGGGGGAATTATTATGTGGGTTGAGGTATAATCTCTTGTAGTAAAAAGGGTTTGGGAGCAAATTTCTTTAAGTAAAAGAAACAAGGAATAACTTTGGTCCTAATAATTCTGCATGTTTTCCATCTTTTTTTATGTGCACCAATAAACATTAATTCCATCTATTCTTATCCACATTCAACCTTAGTGTAGTACGAGACATCCATTTTTTTACATTTTTAAAGTCAAAAGGTTCATTGCTAGAGCTGAGTAGGACCCTACACCTAGACCTTATATGTCACGATAATTACTATATCCCTAAAACTTTGTTCCCGCTGGCAGAAAAACTGTAGCAACGCTCTTCTGGCAATTTCGTATCTCCCTCCTTAACGGAAAGTTGAATATACACTTCTTGCGTGGTGCAACGTAACAAAATGGATAAGGTTCCCTCTTGCTGCCGCACAGTGATGGCTCTAGTATATATTTTCTGGGGGGAGGGGCTTGTTTGACAATTGGGCTTGAGCTATTAGGCTCGAGCTGGGAGAAGGGTTTGAGAGGGGGTTCACCTCCTCCTACATATTACTTTTTTCATGAGGAACTTCTGGATGGCCGGACATGGCACACTCAGACTTTTATATTTTTTATGGTCTAACTACCCTACGTTGGACTTGACTGTCCAGTGGGGGCTTATAAGCCCATGTGAACCCCAGTTGGCGCAGCCACTGCCGTCGCGTAAACGCAATGATTTTCACTGGAAACTTTCAAAAACCATTATGAAATTATGATTCATTGTATTGCTGCAATGTATTATTGTAGGGTGGGTTTGGGTTGTTGGTGTTCTGCTACTGTGATTACTACAGCAGGCATGGCTGGGTTAGGCCTGTACAGTTAATGCTGTAAATTCAGCTTATTTTTGCTTTTTAGCTAACTATAATGATAGGCCTACCCCGAAGAAAAATAATTATAATAAATCAACAATTATAAATGTTCCACAGATCAAATGTAAGCCCCTAGATTAAGCCTAGGTCTGTTTAGTAAATATTCAGTTTACACTTGTTTCCTGTAATTTTAAACAAAAACATGATTAAATAATACTGCACCTAGACCTTAATATGTTAAAAGGTAATATTTTATTGTATTAATTTGGCATATTAAATTAAATATGAAATACAATGTTTCCTTATTGTTGGATTACAATTTGTATGATATTCTCATGTTTTTTAAATCTAGGACTTAAATTTTGCTTATGCAGGTCTAGATAACAAATTAGGCCTAAATATATTTACATAACTAAAATATGATTAAATACTGTACATAAAAAACAACCATAATAAAAATCTAAAATATATTGCTTTACTCAGGTAATTTAAATCAATATAATATCAGGGGTAGCACCAGGACTTGCCTAACGGGTGAGTAGGAGGGTGTCCCGTGGACATGGCCGGACGCTGCTCAAAATTTCTCGTAAATGCTACATAGTGGAGTGGGAAAAGCCCCTAAAAAATATGACAATTTAGGGGTTTCAAAGGCTTATTTAATCGATTTCAGAGTCTACTAGTAGAGACCAGTGTAAAAAATACATATATATTTTTTTCTCCCCGGTTAGGTAAGATGCGTTAAATAAATACAGTATTAATGTTTACAGTATTACAGTATATACAGTATGCCACACAGTAGAAGAACACCATCACAGTGGCTCTATCCAGACCAGGCTAGGCTAGGCTATGATAATAATGATAATAATAACAGTAATAATAGCAACAACATCACCCCTGTGTAATAAATAAATAGTTTTGAAGAATGATTGGGTAAGATGTGTTATACAGTATTAATGTTTACAGTATTATATACAGTATGTCATGCAGTAGAAGAACACCATAAAATCTATCCAGACCAGGCTAGTCTAGGCTGTGATGATAATGATAATAATAACAGTAATAATAGTACCAACATCATTGATAACGATAGCGACGGTCAAGATGACAGATAACTCATCTCCAACATGTAAACACGAAGCACTAACTACAAATCCCACAGTTAGAGCATGCGCAAATTAGCTTTTTCCTTGCGTTTTGGTTTTGCGTTGTGTAAAGTTGAATCAATTCAATTTTACGCAAACAACAACGACGGCAATTCACTAAATATAAAGTAGTAATGTCATTGGTCATTCCACAAAGTTGGGGGAACAACATTTACTTGACCCTATTTTCAATATTTATTAGAAGCAATGGTTGTTTTTGTTCATTCTATGCATCAATGAATTAACTCTTTGTGGCAGAAATTGTGGTAGAAATGTTGCACATGATA